CCCCCCTCCCCCCCACCCCCCCCCCCTAAAGTAAATGTAATTTTTTATTTTCATATTTCTAGTGTATAGTTGTGATACTTTACAAGATATAACCTTTAACATTACAACAAACATATGTTAATAATATTTATTGATATTGATTAGAGTTGTTTCAAGTTATTAAAATATTAGTCATGTATTGCGATACATTACCTTTGATCTTATCGTCAAAAACCTTATTGACAATTATGAAGGTTTGAGTAGTTTAATTCAAAGTCATACTTAAGTAAAATGTTTGTCAAAAGGTATATGTCCACGTGGTTGGAGTGACAATTAAAGAAAAATAGGTACTGCTGCTGATCTAGGGCTTTGTTGAAGATACTAGTAGAGAAATAGTACTTTGGACTAGAAGACTTTGCAATTCTAAGGGATTTTGGTGATGAGGAAGAAGATAATTGGTTTGATGAAAAGCTTCATAGCAATATTGAGCTACATATAAGTCTTATTGCACAAAAAATATATTTTTGATAGAAAAAAGATGTTGGTTTTGTAATATCAGATTTACTTATGACATTGATTATGTAGATAATATCAATTTACTCCTTATTTTATATGAGGAATGATGAGTTTTATACATGATAAGTCGGCATATCCAATTATAGGTAACAATAAAATATTTACTACTGTAAATGATAAATGTTCCCCGTTAAAGAAGGTAACGTACCGGGTCCAAGCAATTTCTTTTGAGATTTTGCTAGATCGGTAAATAGTTGATGTTATAAAAGAAAAAAGACATGATCACAAAGGGGATCAAAATATACTAGCTATGTAAATTTTCTAAGAAATTTCAGAACACCTACTAAGTGTTTATATTTTAGGGATTTTTTCTTAACTATACCACATATGAAATCTTATTACCTAAATGTGCATAGTTTGTTAATTACCCGTCCAGTCCACACTTTTACTACAATTTATATACCATTCGACTATTAGGCATTAAAAGGGCAGAATATTCCCTAAAAAAACGCGCTAAAATTAAGGAGAGAATCTTGGTGTTAATTGATTCTACATTAAATTCAATTTTTAAAAAGGGAAAGGAGATTTCTCATCTGCGTATTTTTCTCCAGATCAGATTTGATTGGTAGGCAAAGCCATTGGAATTTTTTTCGTAATTAAAAAAAAAAAGACTAAAAGCTTCAACAAACTAAAATCAAATCTGTTCTTCATCTTTTTTTTTCTCAATACACAAATCAAAAAAATAATAAAATATAGAACAATACCTCAGCAACAACACTCAATCGTGTCTAAAATCCCAATCATCCTACAATTGAATGGGAAAAATTTGATTATAAAAAACGGGTCTCATCTCTGTATTTTTTGAGAAGAAGAAGGAATAGAGAAGAGGAAGTCTGATTTTATGTTAATATCTAAATTCCTATATTTATCTACAAATAAACTACAAATTAGTTTTAGTATTGTATAAAGCTGTATTGTTTTTAAGGGTATCTACAAAATTATTACATTTATACTACTATTAAACTACGATCTAAGTTGAAAAAAAATGTTGACTACAAAATTTTCTATTCATCTACAAAATTTCTACATAAAAAATCAAAAATAAACTACAAATCAGTTTTAGTATTGTATAAAGTTGTATTGTTTTTAAGGGTATCTACAAAATTACTACATTTATACTACAATTAAACTACGATCTATGTTGAAAAAAAATGTCGACTACAAAATTTTCTCTTGACCTACAAAATTTCTTCAAAAAAATTACAAATAAACTACAAATCAGTTTAAGTATTGTATAAAGCTGTATTGTTTTTAAGGGTATCTACAAAATTACTACATTCATACTACAATTAAACTACGATCTATGTTGAAAAAAAATGTTGACTACAAAAGGTTTCCTATGTGGATAGGAATGTAAAAATCCCAAAAAAAAAAAAAATAGGGTTTCAAGATCCATAATACAGCTACTAATAACTAAGACGTGCAGAAACAAAACAAGAAAGATGAAGAAACAGAAAGAAGAGAAAAAGGATTTCTGTGCACAAGTTACTGCTAAGCTTCTATTTATTCACCATGACAACGACACAACAATTAAAATATGGATATTTTCTACCAAAATCATCTCTTTTTTGCTATAAACTTCTGAACCCTCGTTGTATCAACTTCTACCAGACCATTAGCGTAGTTGGAGATAGTTAGTATATCCCACCAATTGCGGTTGAGAATATCTTAGGAATTATGGGGATAGAGAAACGTGGGATATATGGATATCTTTAATTAATGAGTAAAAACTGCCCATTAATTAGACCCTTAATTAAGTATGGTATAGGATTGGTATTTGGTATACGGGTTTGTAATTAAATCAAACCTTAAATATTGAGGGTAATAAGGTTTCATATGTAGTATAGGAATGTAAAAATTCCTATATTTTATGGTCTTTTAAGTCCTCGTAGATTAGATACATAACAAAGTTGAATCTCTCATAACCAAGAAAGAAACCTACTCATTCATTAAGGGTATATTCTTGCGGTTATCAACATAATGTCCCGAATTCTATAAACATTATTTGATGTATGTTTTTTTGTTTCTTTTATTATTTCTCGCGAATATTGTTGAGTTATGCGTTAAATCTTAGGCTATTAAAAGATTGAAGCCTGACATTAATGTCGTATTTTTTTGTGAAAATTTAAATTTGAAACTCCGTATCTCGCAACATATCGATTGAATTCACAAGTATTGAGGTACATTGCGACAGAAACTATTTATATCTTGTAATCGAAATATATATATATATATATATATATATATATATATATATATATATATATATATATATATATATATATATATATGTATATGTATATATATATATTCAAATTTTATACATTTTTTCGACTATTTTACAGCGGCTATACAGTGTCATTTTTCCTTCTCTATAGTCTATTATCAATAAAATGCATTTTCTTTTTAAGTTATGCAAAGTTAATAGAAAGAAAATATTGATGGTAGGGGGTCAAAAGTATGAGACTTATGCCGGTATCTATATTCTACAGAGTGACTATCTAACGCATTCACTTTTCTTGTTTTTTCTTAGTTGTGACAGCTATTACAAATAGATTTATATTTCGAGTTGTTGACATTCAGTTAGGATGGCCGAGTGGTCTAAGGCGCCAGACTCAAGTTCTGGTCCTCGTGAGAGGGCGTGGGTTCAAATCCCACTTCTGACAATTCCATTTTATTGTTTTCCTACAGCAAGTCCATTTGTTTTTAACTGAATTTCACTTTTACTTTGTTTTTCTTTTTTCTTTTTGTTTCTTTTCGAAATTCAGTTTCCTCTATCGAGTTGGCTACTACTAACTCTTCCGCCGAAAGTTAAAAATTCCAATACTGAATGATGTGCGTTGAATTTCCTCTATTGCGATTTTAGATTTGTCATTATGCTCTACAAAATAGAGCTAGTTTCTTTACAAGAATAATTAACGTACTTACAAAGGTTATTGTTAAGTTCAGAATGGAAGAAAGAATTTTCGAAGATTTTCACGAAATATCGCAGAAAAATTCGGATACATTTATCTGTCTTAATTTTTTAATTATTATTCAATTCAACCACCCACGTTTTTACCTCCCGTGGTGGGGAGGGGCTTGAATAGCAAAAGAAGAGAACATCAGAACAATAGAGGGGGACATAAACCCTCAGGGGTTGGCCTGGTGGCAACAGACTTGAGCCTTGGGGTTTGCTCCCTTTCAAGGTCTCAAGTTCGAAACCCACTGGGTGCAAACAATTTTTGAGGGCCATCGGACTGGGTAAAACTTGAATTAACCGTGGTGCACTTGCGGGAAACTCCTTGCCGAGGGCCTGTGCACCCCCGAGATTAGTCGGGGCTCTTAGAGACTCGTACACCCGGTGCAAAATCAAAAAAATAGAGGGGGACATAAACCTTAACCTCCAAACGGCCAAACATATGTTGGCAGGCTTTTTTGTTGTTATTTTAATTTATTTTCTTAATAACTTTTTATTTCTATTGTTTTAATTTATTTTACCTTTTTAATTTCTTTTGTAAATTTTAAAATATATTTTTCTTTGTACATTATTTATCTTTTATTTCTTTACCTTTACTTCTTGTGATTCCATGTAATTGTTTATATTTTATTTGTTATTATTTATTTTATTATTCTATTTTTGAAACTACACCTCCTAATATTAGAAATAACGAGTCATTAACAAATTTGGCATATAATAAGTGATGCAATTAAAGTGAAATTTCGTTGTTGAATGTGAATATAAACTTATTATGTTTCCTAATCTTAAGTTGTAGTGGAACTTACTATTATTAAGTTGGAATATGACATATGTTAAACTATTTTTTTTTTGAATTTTGAAACTGTGTTATATTCATGGTTCAAATTTACTCGTTTTAGTAGTATTGACTCACATTGCATGTTGTTCATTTTTTTAGTTAGAATTGATACATTAATTTTGTTTAACATTTGAATAATGTTATGACATTATATTTATAAATATTAATTTATTTTATCAAATATTTGAATAATGTTATGACATTATATTTATAAATATCAATTTATTTTATCAAACATGAATTCCATGATATTCTTACAAAGCGTATATTTTTAGTTTTTGTAAGTTTCTAAACTAAATATTATTAATTTGAATATATATATATATATATATATATATATATATATATATATATATATTTTACAATACTAGTTATAAATATATGATTACTAATTAATGTATATTCACGAAAAAATATACATCTTAAATACCAAATATAATATCATTTATACTTATTAAAATTTACATGCATATATTTATTATATTAATTTTTAAGTTTTGATAATTACTTCATTTAATTACACTTGTGCAACCAAATAATAAACTTATAATTACAATTTAATTACACTATGACAAACAAACAGGTCGTCGTAATTACACAACTATGTAATTACTAAACAGGCGCTAAAGGCAATTATTAGACTCCAGAATCTATGAAGAAAGCTAGACCGACTAACTTATCTAACATCTAGAATGAAGGGACTCCCCTAACCCTTGCTTACACTCGATCCTAGAAAAATAAAATAAGGAAGACCTTCTCCTTTACATAACAAAAATGTAGAAAAGCATAGCAATGATAGTAGGAGTTAGATGGGAGTAGTTCCTCACTAGAGCTTGAACGCAAGCATGGGTACGAGCCCTTTTGTAGAAACTCCAATAGAAAACTCCCAAAAAAACAAATATGCCAAATAGTGGTGCACGATGAGATTTTTGGATAGTCTGGTTAGACCATTTCATGTATCAAAGGGGCTAAAGAGGGGTTCAACCATAAAATGGAGCTTCTAGATGCGATTTAGATGCACTTTCTTACTGATTTAATGTTTATATTTCCTGTATTCTACTGCCTAATATATGATAATATCACCCTGATGATTAAAATAAGTGAAGAAAAGGCCACCTAGGCTAAATATTCACCTATTACATTACAACATTGTCATACTAATTCAGACTCAAAACTTTCAACACGCCTTTTTTAAATTTACGCGTTGTATGCAACGAAATTCTATGGATTCTTAGAGCTTCTATGGTTACACATATAATAAAA